CGGCCACGCACTTGCACAGGCCTGTACGATCTTCCACGCATTGGCCATTAGTTGGCCCGACGCTACCTCCAAACGATTCAGGACATCTACCACCACTTGTGGTAGGGGTAGCCTTAGTCCTCCCTTCAATGCTTCCTCAGAAAGGGAAAACTCCCCTGGCCTGGCGTCGGATGGCCTCTCCGTCGACATCGGCAACAATAACTCTATTTCAGCAGGCACCTGGTATTTTTCGCGAATAGCCTCCAAATCTGCTGCAGTAACCGTTGATTTGCCAGCCTTCGTGTGCTAGTGATCTGGTTCCACCTGGCTAATTGGCTTCGAAGCTGCCATTATGGTGGGGACATGAGATCGTACCACCGGCTCATCCACCCTCTCCATTTGCCTTTTCGTCCTATATTGCTCCGCTAACTCCACTGCATCGTCATCACCAAGCGGATCCACCCTGGCATTGGCAGCTTCTTCTTGGGCCATTTCTATGGTATGTCTGCGAATCGCTTCAGATGTGGGTACAAGGAAATCGAAAAAGTGTTGCAGAAGTGTATCGTGAGCAACAAAGGAGTTAACACTTGGGATGTTTTGATTTTTTTCAAACAAGTAGGTGAATCGAATAATCCCAAAAGCCCAAGGCTTACCCGTATTCCAAGGGTCACAATTAATTTTCGCCAATTTGAAAACTTTTCAAAACACCCGCCAAAGCTGTCTTTTTAACACCCATAATGACCTATCGTTTCATTTTTGATCCAACGCCTAATCTCCCCCCCCCCGCGGGATGTTACCACATGTACGACCACGATCCAATGTCTTCTCCTATTACCCTGTCTTTTCCACTTCAAATCACCACGTGACACGCCGCCTCTCGAGCCCCACGCCCCTCCACCTCACCCTCCTCGTGGTCGGCCCTCCCACTCGGTCACCCTTCGCGGTCGGCCCTCCTCGTGGTCGACCCTCCCACTCGGGTGGATTGATCTACTTCCCTACTCTTTAAGCTTGATTCTCACATCTTATAGCTCAATTTATATGAATTCATGCATGAACAACTTAAATCCACAATTAAAAGAATGAATTTCCTACCTTAAGTCATGAATTCCAAGTATGCTAACTCAATTTTGCAAGTTCCTTTCAATTCTTCTAACTTCCAAAGCCAACTCTTGTTGAATCAAAATTTTTCTCCTACTCTCCCTCTCTCTCTCGGTTTCGTCTTGTGGATGGAGAATAATGGTGAAACAAATGCATAAATCAAGTCTAAACAATGTTTTAAAAAGTGGCCCACTCAATGGCAAAACTTGTAATTAACCTAGGCTCAAATAATTTAATGTTAACTAATCTAATTTACTCATTCCAAATTGAATTTTAATTAAACTTACCATAAAATTCTATAAATCTTAATTAGCACATAAATGAAGTCGATTTTTGATTCGGACGCCGATAAGGCTTTCAATTCGCAAACCGAAACTAAAACGTGAACAGATCTTTCTATGCCTAACAGATATAGACACAAACAATGCATCACACACATGCAGTTTAATGCAGAATTCACCTCAATTGCTAATTAGGCATAATTAATCATGGATTAACATTAATCAGAGGTTGGGGTTGTTACATGAAGCCAATGTTGATGCGGGAAGATAAGTGAATTATTAAAGTCTTGATGTAACGAGTGAATTTGATATATAAAGGACACTCCTAGCAACATCGAAAAATCCTAAAATTGTAAGAATAATGTTGGTTGTATACTAATACATCTCAGCACACTTGAACGCAAAATGATCGGCAACACTCTGTTTTCTATTTGTATGTTGATGTTGATGGCTAAATGAGCATGACTTATGTTGTCTAATTGACACTAATCGGCATAGTGTTATGCTCATTTTCATTGCTATTATGTAATTTACAGTTATGCCAAAATGTTTGGGTTTACTATTTGCCAAATGCACAGTATGACATTGACTGAATGTGTATGTATAACATTTGGAAGTATGTCAGCTAGGAACAACCAAGTGGGACAACAAACTACTGTTACAAAAAAAAAAAAAAAATTGCACACTAGGATATGGTACGTTGACGATCAATTCAATAATAAGTAAATATAAAGTGTGGACAGTGTGGTAATGTAATGTTTTTGTAACCTGTCATTTGTTTTATTTTTGGTTGTAGTTCTTCATTTGTGAGCACACCGACATTGTGGAACTTGATCGGCGTAATGTGTCACCCAGGTTTTGTCGGTGGAACATTGGCAAAATTGTTGGGAAGCCAAAAGGTATGGACTTGTCGGCGGACGATTCCGTAGAGGCATGAATGATGACTTGGTGGTGGTATGTTGTATATGTTTGATTTATTTTTTTGTTTTGATTTGTTTGAGTTGTTGGTTACATGTTAACTGTGGGAAAATTTTCGGGTCTGTCGTTGAACATTATTTCGTGCAGGTGGTACCGGACGCCCACGTGCTTATCAAGCGTGATGAAAATGTGTTAGATGTTGATCCGATGAATGTATGGGATGGGTGACGCCTTAATATTGAGGGTGAGAATGTGAACGTTGTAGAGCTACGGGTGGAGTCATGTACTGGAAAATATCAATTTGTGATTGTAATTATGGTAATGTAATAGTGTGCATGAAATTGTGTATGTGTTTTCTAGTGATATATGTTTGTTGTCATCATATATTGGCGTGAGTGCAATGATGGAGTCATTAATAAATGGGTTGTCTTATTTTGTTGCAATGTCGAAAAGAGTCCCTTGTTTGTTCCAGTTGCATATGTGTGTAGTAATGATGTGGATTGTGTTAGATGTCCATGTTAGTGGGAGGGAAATTTAATTGATGATGTAGATGCTCAGAATGTTTAATGGAATCCTTCAGAAATGTGTTCTGTTTGAGCGAGGGTTTGTTATATTGGTGGTGAAAGATTTTGTCGACTTTTTTGTGTAGGATTTGATTGCGATTGTCCACGTAAATGTTGGGACGTGTAACTTTTATGTTAGTAAAAATTAATCAAGTTCAATGGAAGCAATGAATCTATTACGTCAGTATATGCAATTGTAGGTATGTTGAAGTTTTTATGGAATGTTGATGACTTGCATGTTATTGGCGATGATTTATTGGAGGTGTACATATTACTTACTGGAAATGCATGGTAATGAAGGTGCATTTGTCAAAATCATGTATGTAGTGGGTCTTGTGTGGGTGGTAGTGTCAAAATAAAAATAAAAAATAACAACCAACAACAACACCACGATTGCACATCAGCCCTTTATATCAAATGGCTAAACATCACTAACCCCACAAATCACTCCATGAAATCCTCCACAACAATTTCAAAAATTAACACCATACCATAACCAACCCACCCAAACGTTAGGAAAAAATCACAACTAAAATCACACTCAAGGGTAAACAAGTAAACTCCAAAATATACCATAAATAAAATGACTAATTGGTTTGAAAGAAAACTTTCAGGACTAAATGAAGTAACATTTTCTCAAATGGGATTTTTGGGTAATTTTTCTAATACATATTTTAGTAAAAAAACCTACTGCAAAATTCACTTTCCAAATAAGCCCTTAGCGTTTGTTAATGTATAATTGAAAAAGTAATTCTGCAGAATAGAAAATACATTTTAGCTAAAATTTGAGAAACATTTTTATGCAAACATTTTAAAGGATTTTAAAATAGCTTTTAAACCTATAGGTTAATATGGCAATAAATAGTTTTACTATTTAAGTATAATCTATTATTTTCACACATTTAGAATTTCACTATAAATTTAAAGGGAGATGTTTCTTTTCGGTTGGGTATCCTAACTGGAGGGTGTTGTTGGGTCTTTGTGGGCTTACCATAGAACCCACATTGATAATCTGAATCGTTTAGTATGTATGACTTGTCGAATACTTCACTCATGCAAAAAATCACGTTGATTAGATATCAATAGTTACTTGATCACTGTTGACACAAATGCGATTTGATCAAATAGTTATCGATATATGATCAACGTGATGTTTTACAATGATGAAATACTCGATGAGCCATACCAACTTGAACAGTTTGGATCATCGATGGGAGCTTCGTGGTGGGTCCACGGAAGCCCAACAATACTCTTTAATCCAATTTGAACTGAAAAGAAGCTATGGCCAAATTTAAAATGCTAATGCATAATATAAGAGGAAAAACCATAAAGAGAACAAGAGTAATCAAAAGAAAAATAGAGAAAAAGTGACAATTATAGACAATGAATTTGCTTAAGGCATTTCCAATGGGGTATCAATTTGTTCACTAAATTTAAGTAAAAGCTTCCTTTGATATCAAATGCTTTAATAGAGGGTTTTTTAGTTTCATCAAACCGTTGTTCGACCGGGCAGACGACGGGCCGATCGACTGGCTAGTATAATTTTTTTACAATTTTTTGCCTTGAGGTGGTCATCCAAGGGAACATCCGATGGTGAAAATCCAATGACAATTAACAGTGATTTGATAAAAGACACATTGATCATCAGTTTGATGAAAGAAAAGTGAAATCTTCGATATGATAGGTATTTGATAAAACTGTTGGAGTAGGAAAAAAAAGCTATTTTTTTTATCAAATTTAAACTTGATGACAGTTTTGAGTAACCATTAGAGATGGTCTTAAGGCATCTCCAACGGTGCATCAAATTTTTCACCAAATTTGAATAAATGCTTCATTTGAATATCAAGTGCTCCAACAGAGGGTTTTGTAGTTTCATCAAACTGCTGGTCGACCGGGCAGACGACTGGTAAGTGGACCGGCCAGTGTAATTTTTTCACAAATTTTTGCCTTGAGATTTTCATCCGGGGAAACATCCAAGAGGACATCTGGTAGGGGTGAGCATGGACCGGATTGGTCCTGATTGGGAGAAAACCAAGACCAATCCGTTATCTACGGTTCCTGGAAAATTAGAACCAATCCAATCCGTTTAAATTGTGGAACCAATCCGAACCAATCCGTTGAAACACGGATTGGATCGGTTCAGGACCACGGATTTAAATAATTAAATAACAAAAAAAATATAGACATTACATTTTCATTTCAAATTATAAACTGTAAACCATTCCAAATTAAACTTTCATTTCACTAGCATTTCCATTCTATTCCACTAGCATTTCCATAAACTGAAAACCTGTAAACATCCTATGCCACTAGTATTTCCATTCAAATAGCAACTCCATTCCTGTAAACCTGTAAACAATATAAGTAAAAACAACACCCATTCCAAGTAAACAACATCCATTCCATTATAAACTGGAGCAAACATCCTCCATTCTAAGCAAACATCACCCATTCCAAGCAAACACACATCAACAATAGTGCTGAATCAATTCCAACAAGAAAAAGGTAAAGAAGAGGGAATAAAAAGAAAAAGGTAAAGAGCATTGTAAAATAGAAATTCAACATGCAAGCAGTTCCTAGTTCCTACTTTCTAAAAAAAAATTACTATTTATGCAATCTCTCTTTTGGTTCGAATTGATATACTTACCATTTCAATATTCATAACTTAAGAACCAAACAAAGAACCTCAATAAATTATATACAATGTAAACAAATAAACAAACACCACAACAAAACTCAAAGATCAAGTTGATTAGAACAAAAAATAACTATATGAAACTTGATCTTCTAATTAACACATCAACAAACTCTGAAACTCTTTCAACTCTATGACAAAGAGACTCACACAATGCTCTACAGAAACATTTTCAAAGCTCAACATAGTCCAAGTATTTGATGCAAGAACAAAAAATAAAAATAAAAAAACTAAAAGCTTTCAAACTGGATCAAATAAAATTACAACATGAAGGAAAACCCATCAATAAAAACATTCAATATGCAACTGGATCTTCCAATTAACACAGAAACACACTCTGAAACTATTAAATTTTATGGCAAAGATGCTCACACAATGCAGTAGAGAAAAAATTTCAAACATCAACAAATTATGCAGCCCAGGTATTCGATGAAAGTATCAGACAAAAAAAAAAAGAGTCTTGAAACTGGATTGAATAGCGTTAAAAATGAAAACCCATCAACAAAAAACACATTAAAAAACAGAAATAAAAAATAAGCTCCGAGAGGTCAGAAATCCTGGACATCAACTCAAGCTCTTTCAGACTTTAAATCCTAGACATCTTCGACACTTTTGTGCTTTGAAGTAGAACAAATCAATGTTTCTAACTAGTTTAATTTCCATAAACACTGATTTGTGCATCAATGGTTACAAACAACAACAGAAAATAGAAATACAAAACAGAGATGAAATCAGAAAAAAAAATAAAAATAAAAACAAAAAATAGAAATACAAACAGAAAAAAAAACAATCGATCTAAAAAACATAATAAAAATAAAAACAAAAACATAATGTAAACATAAAACACAATAAAAATAAAAATAAAAATAAAAATAAAAACAGAAAAAAAAAAAATCTCTTACTTACATTCACTGAATCCATTGTAGATGACATGAACAATCGATCTAATCTGCGATGGATGATCTGGGAACCTATTTCAGAGTGTTAGAGATTAAACCTATTTCAAAGTGTTAGAGAGAGAGAGAGAGAGAGAGAGAGAGAGAGAGAGAGAGGAGCTCACCGAAAGAGGAAGACAACAGCTATAGATCGATCTAATCTGAGATGGAGATCTGGGAACAAATAAACAAAAATAGTCACCGATCCGAGAGAGAGATGAGAGATGAGAACACCGAGAGAGAGAGAGAGAGCTCACCGACGGAGAGAGAGCAGCAGCACACCGATCTGATCTGAGATGGATGAGAGTGAGAGAGAGAGAACTCAGTCTGAGATGGGAAAGAGAAGAGAGAGAGACACCATCGATATAGAATAGAGACCTGAGATGAGATGAGAGTGAGAGGCGTGAAGGTGAGGCTGCTGGATTAGGTTTACATTTTAGTTTTTATATCATATAAGAAATTATATGGTGTGGGAAGGTATATAGTATAAAAATATAGATTATTTCTAGATGGTCCGGATCGGTTCCAATCCGGAACCGATCCGTGGCCTATGGATTTTGAATTTTCCAATCCGGAACCGAACCACGGATTCAAAAAACCAATCCAAATCTATCGGATTGGACTGGACCGGATCGGATTATGGATTTTACGGATTCCTTGGTCAGCCCTAACATCTGGTGGTGAAAATCCAATGGCAATTAACAATGATTTGATGAAAGGCATATTGGTCATCAGTTTGAATTCTGGATTTCATACGTATTTGATGAACCGTTTGAGCAAGAAAATAAGTTATTTTTCATCAAATTTAATTTTGATGATAGTTTTAAATAATTATTAGAGATGGTCTTACACAATCTTTTTAGTATGCGAATAATATATAAAATATGATTGATATAGATCTTATATATAAAAAAAATTAGTATTAACCCCTCATAAAATGGTAAATACTCCCGTGGGTGTAATTTAAAAAAATGTATGAACAAAATTGAACCTTTAAAATAAATAATTAAGGGATTGTTTGGGAAGTGACTGATTAGAATACTTTTTAACTTCTTACGAAAAAATGTAAAATATGAGTTGAGTTTGAAATGATGTAATAGATAAGTGATATGACTCAAATAAGATAATTGTGACCCAAATAGAATAATGTGCTAAAATAGCATGTGTTATTTTAATACATGCCAAATAAAGACTAAATTTCCATAGGAGCTGGAATCTGTAATCGTCAAATAGATGGGCTAGATTCAACTCAAGTCCACTGGAGTCAAACCAGTTATTGTCAAGTAAATTTAAATGGGTTGAAGAGCATGTCGAGTGAAGGTTAGCCACATGTCTAGGCTGAGTATGTAAGGAAAGTCGGTATGGCACTCCACTTTAAGTGAGCCCAAGCTATACTTCGCTAAAAGTATGATAGGGAAAAGGATTATGACATATCAATGATCAAGAGCAAAGTTACATGAAAGAATATTTATGAGAAGGGTCCAGCTTGTCTCAAGTTGAGATCAAGACTAGACCCGTCCAGTTCGGCCCATGGGGCCCATTTCTTGGGTCCGTTTGATAATCCGAACTGTTCAATGTGTAGAAATCGTTGAGCACTACATGCCTGTAAAAAATCACGTTGATCGGATGTCAACAACTATATGATCAAATCAGTTTTGTATAAAAAAAATGGACGGTGAAAAAATTAACGGTTGATAAAAAACAATTTTGTTCACATAGCTATCGATATCCGATCAACGTAATTTTTTACAAGCATATAGTACTCGACGAGTTCTACACATTGAACAGTTCAAATTATCAAAACGAGACCTGTGGTGGGCCTCCACGGGCCCAACAGCACGGTCCAGTCCGATCTTGGACTGGACCAAAGCCACTGTCTCATGAGAATGACTTTATAAAGAGTGCTGCTATTAGCACCTGCCAAAATTCTTTGGACCCCCCATTTTATAATTTTTTTTTATTACAATTATACTTTAAAGTAAAATTACATTAAAAGGCATTATTAAATGGAACACCTACCTATCAATAAGAATGAATACTCTATAATATTGGACACCCACCGCCTCCCCCACCCCCACCTCCAACTCCAACTCCAACTATACGTATTCCATATTTGTAAACCCTAAACCTATTACTTTTCATAACCAACTAACATAAACCCTAAATCTATTATTTTTCATAATCATCTTAAATTCTGAATGTGTTATCTTCATCACCATCATCAACGCTATTGGACTTGAAAGTTTTGCTTCACTTATTTCACTGTGTACAGCAATGGAGGAGGAGGACAACAATTCTAGTGAGACCAGCGTTCCATTGGTAAGTTTATCTATCTTGTATTAACATTGTCAGTCGTTTTCGGTCATTTTCGTTCGTTCTTGTTTTGTTCGAGCTGCTCGGTACTGGTTTGATGACTATTAGAATTATGTTCGGTAATACAGTACTGAACATAATCCTTTCGTTCAATACATAGGTTCCGAACATTGATGGAGACAGTCAGTACTGTTCAACCGAATATCATCTTCATTTTCGTCACTGTTGAACTGAACAAAACCATTAGTTTCGGGATTGTTAAAATGAACATCATTTTCTCAATTTTGAAATTACATTCACACGTGTTTTCAGGGTGATGCTTCGACTAGAGGCAGTAAGGTTGATTCAGAACTTGTAATGGATTATAGTAATGAATTTGTTACTCATGAGGTGAGTCTTTGATTGTTTTACAAGTAATGTACCTTTCTTATGTGCAATAATCGGTTAGTCTAATTTATTTATTTATTTCAGATTTTCAAGAGTTGAGATGAGTTAATTCGATGGGCACGTCAAGTTGGAAGAAAAAATGGATTTTTTATTGTCGTGCAAAAATCAGATGGGGGTGGTATTCGAGGTAAGAAGCCAAGACTTAGCTCAGCTTGTGAGAGGAGTGGATCTTATAAGGACACTCGAAAAAACAGCAGGCCTAAGACAAAAAAAGCAAGACTGACTGGTACAAAAAAATGTGAATGTCCTTTTTTATTAAAGGGCAAAAAATTAGCCACAAATGATGACTGGATCTCGATAGTTGTTTGTGGTGTGCATAATCATTCTGCTGTAGAATATCTTGAGGGTCATTCTTATGCTGGAAGGTTGTCACATGAGGAAACCTCTTTGTTGGTAGACATGTCGAAGAGTATGGTATGATCAAGTGAGATATTGGTTACATTGAAACAACGTGACGATGCAAATGCTTCCACAATGAAGACAATTTACAATGCACGTCATAGGTATAAAGTTGCTGAGAAAGCTGGGAGATCTCAAATGCAACAACTATTAGGTCAGTTAGCGATGAACAAGTACATTGAGTGGCATAGGAGCTGTGCAGATACTGAGACAGTGACTGATTTGTTCTTTGCACATCCTACTAGTTTGAATTTGTTACGTGCATTTCCAAAAGTATTGTTGATGGATTGTACTTATAAGACCAATCAATATCGGTTGCCCTTTCTGGAGATTGTAGGTGTGACATCGACAAACATGACCTTTTCAGTTGCATTTGCATACCTTCAGTATGAGAAGGAGGATAACTATACATGGGCACTTGGTCTTTTGCGTAGTGTCATGGATGAAAATACTCTTCCTTCTGTTATTGTCACAGATAGAGAATTGGCCCTTATGAATGCCATATGTACGGTGTTTCCTGTAACTACAAATTTGTTATGTAGATAGCATATTGGAAAAAATGTGCTTGCTAATTGCAAAAAGACGTTTGAGACCAAGGATAAATGGGAAATGTTTATAATGAGTTGGAATATGTTGGTTATGTCATCGTCTGAAGAAGTATACATGCAACGACTGTCTTTGTTATATAGTGAGTTTAGTACTTATCAAGATGCACTTCATTATGTTACCTCATCTTGGTTGGATACATACAACTGCTTGGACTGACACATTTATGCACTTTGGAAATTCTACAACAAATAAGTAAATACGAACATTTAAATTTACTAGTTGTTTGGTTTTTTATAACATTATTTTTATAACAGTTTATTTCATATATAGGGTTGAGAGTTCACATGCAAAACTTAAAAGATATCTTAGATCAAGTCAAGGAAATTTTGAGTCGAATTGGACAAGGATACACAATTTACTTGAGTTGCAACATAGTGAAATAAAATCATCATTTGAGAAAAGCAAGTTAGTTGTGCAACATGATTTCAAACCTACGCAGTTTAATGAGCTTCGTGGTAATGTCTCAATTACTGCATTAGAGATCATATTGGCTGAGTCTAAACGAGCATCTTCTGTTGGTATTGATATTACGACATGTGGATGTGTCGTTCGACGTACCCATGGTTTGCCATGTGCACATGAGATAGCAAATTACATGAGGGAAAATCGGCCAATTCCCATCTCTTCGGTTTGTTCATATTGGACTAAGCTTGATATGTTGAGTACCCCACACATTGTAAGTGAAGAGTGGACTTGTACACCTGAGTTAGAATTGTTTGCCAAACGATTTGAGGTAGTGGATCCAGATATGAAGAGGTTTTTGTTACAAAAATTGAGGGAGTTAGCCAAACCTATTGTACATTTTTGATTGAGCCGGAAGTGAAGTCTAATCCACGAGGTCGGCCAAAATTGAAGATTGAGACCTCCACTCGTCGTGAGCCATCTGCGTTTGAAATAGTTGCTTCAGCACAAGATAGTTATCCTCCCGGAGTCATTGCCAAGGCGAGTGTAACAACAAAAAAGATGAAAACAAAGAAGAAATAAAAGGTACATGCTTTACTAGTGAGGTATGTAATTGTGTCATGTTGTCTACTTTATTGTCTAACATTGGCATGGCCCGTGATAGGTTCACCGGCTTCGATCATTGAATCCAAATTGCTTTTTAGAGGCATTCCCTTCTGAATTGAGACGATATATTAAATACGTTAAGGATGTTGCAGCAGATGGCAATTGTGGGTTTCGAGCTATTGCTGGTTTGATGGGTTTTGGAGAAGAATGATGGTTACAAGTGAGAAAAGATTTACTTAAAGAGTTGCATGTGCATAGTGACCACTATAGGAAATTATTTGGATCACAAGAGAGAATCGATGACCTGACAAACATCTTGGCATATTTTGAACCAAACCCTGGGTTGGACCAATGGATGACGATTCCTGACATGGGTCATCTTATATCGTCTTTCTACCAAGTCGTTTTGGTCCACTTGTCTATTCAACAATGTTTGACATTCCTCCCTCTTAGGTCAACACCGACATCTGTTGCCTCTCGCAAGGAGATATGTATTGGCTTTGTCAACAACAACCATTTTGTTCAAGTATTGGTTTCTAATATTTTTGTACATTCTTGTATATTATAACGACAAATTTCTTAATAACGACAACATTTTTGTACATTCTAATTTATTTTTATTTTTTTTGTAGCTCATTTTGGAGCCTGGTCATCCTATTCCACCCATAGCAACTAACTGGCGGAGGTACCATAACCCTTGTGCAGTAGGCTGGGAGGTTGCATACAGTTCTAGAGTGCAACATTTCAAATCACTTATCAATCTAGACGTAGCCACAATCGAAATAGTAGACCTGGATGAGGACTAATGTCATATGAGTGAGCTAGGAAATAGAATTAGAATGGATTTCAGTTATGTAATTTTCTTTGTTAAACTAACTTAGAATGGAAAAGAGTGAATTGGAATGGATTTAAGTTATGTATTTTGAATGGATTTAATTCATGTTATTTTCTTTATTCTAATGAATTGGAATGGTAAACATTGAATTGAAATGAATGTTATTTTCTGTGTTGTACTGAATTAAAGTTGATGAAAAAAGTGAATTGGGATGGATTCAAGTTACACAGTGATGAACCATATATGTTCGGCATTACAGTGATAAACGAAGACCATCTGTTCGGTACCACAGTGCTGAACATGTCAGTTTGATTCGGTTAGTCAGTGATGAACAGAAAATTCATGTCTATTCATTAGTCCAGATTTGTTTATTCAGTGATGACCATAAAGCAATAAACTTACTAATATTTGAAACAAACAAACTATCAAACCATCCAATCAATTCAAACCATCAAACCAATTCAAACCATCAAACCATCTAAACCATCAAATGTTCGGCATCACAGTGATAAACTAAGATTACCTGTTCGGCATTATAGTGCTGAATAAGTCAGTTTTATTCGGTTTCACAGTGCTGAACAAGGAGGATTTGTTCGGTTAGTCAGTGATGAACAGAAAATTCATGTTTATTTCCATCTTTGTTTATTCAGTGATGACCATAAAGCAATAAACTTACCAATATTTGAAAGAAACAAACTATCAGACCATCAAACCAATTCAAACCAACCATCAAACCAATTCAAACCATCTAAACCATCAAATGCTCGGCATTACAGTGATAAACGAAGACTACTTGTTCGCTATTACAGTGATGAATAAGTCAGTTTTATTTAGTTTTACAGTGCTGAACGAGGAAGATTTGTTCGGTTAGTCAGTGATAAACAGAAAATTCATGTTTATTCATTAGTCCAGATTTGTTTATTCAGTAATGACCATAAAGCAATAAACTTACCAATATTTGAAAGAAACAAACTATTAAACCATCCAACCAATTCAAACCATCAAACCATCTAAACCATCAAACCAATTCAAACCATCAAACCATCCAAACCATCAAACCAATTCAAACCATGAAACCATCTAAACCATCAAACCAATTCAAACCATCAAACCATCTAAACCATCAAAATAATTCATTGAGTGCCCAAAAAGGTATGGTAAAGTCATATACAAGCCTAGCACCATCAAAAAGTCTAACATATAGTAAAGTGTTATCTGGCATTTGTTATACTTGTGTCTAACACCATCAAAAAGTCTAACATATAGTAAAGTGTTATCTGGCATTTGTTATACTTGTGTCTAACACCATCAAAAAGTCTAACACATGTTTGAGACTAAGATTTCAAAATACGCATTCAAAACATTTGAACCCAACAAATACTAAAGTCTAAGACGTTGCTCCATGTTTCCTGCGACGAGTGTATACCAAGTTCTCTGATGGTGTGTGTTCTTCAGTGGGCTGTTGGCCCTCCAAGACTTGTGTTATCTTCTTCATGGCATTGCGTAACATATCTCGGGTGGGAGCTGCTTCATTGTATCCAATTTCAAGCATTGAACGTGAAATGCTTAAGGCACTGTCAATGCGCTGCAAACAATAAAATAAAACTTAACAATTGCCTTAAACAAAATATATATGAAAATGAAAATGAAAATGGTAAAAATTGACATACGAATTGAAGTTCATGATAATCAGCTGATGTCTCCGTGCGTGGATTATACTTAGAACGATGTGTCGGGTTTTGAACTTGCACGTGTGAAATAGAAGTAAATCAGTCCAAGTAACCTGGCACACAATCCCATGGATGCAAGACTAGAACACTACGACCTATCTCAGACAACAAGTGATTTTCCCAACTCTCCCAAATCGTATCCAAGAATTTATAGGCAATGATGTATTGTTTTGCAGTGGATCCTCTAGAGGCTCGAATTGGAGCAAGTAGAGGTGAGGGAATAATTTGCACCCTACGAAACTATCTCAGTACCCTATTTGGATGGTATGGTTCAACAATGTGCATACATTTTAAGCATCCACTATAGTAAGCAACATCGAAAAAAGGATGCTCAATACGGTTATCATGGTATGGATCCCAAATAACCTACAATAATAAAAATTTTATATGTAAGTTATGAATTAGATTGAATAATAAAAAGTAATATGTACATACATTGACATAAGATTGACACTTACGTTATGGGCCTCTAATCTGTCGAGGTCCTCTTGCAACCTTTGTAAAATAGACGTTGACGAACCAGATTGGGTGCGAGAAATCCAACGAAAGACACGAGACTGATCTTCTTTATAGTCCAAATTGGGGTGGGGTCTGGCACCAACAAAATGCTCGTAAATCCAAGCTTCCAGTAATGTCATGTATCCCGCCATCTGTTTTACGGCATACCTTGTGGCAGTACCCAATTGCCAATATAAAAAAGCCAATGCGGCTGCACCCCAAGCATAAGAAGCAACCGACCGCAAATCCATAAGAAAAGACAAATACACTACCGGAACACGTGTGCCTGTCTTGTCCGCAAATAAGGTACAACCTAACAAATATAACAAATATGCCTTAGCTGCACACTCAATGGTATTATCATTGTCCGCATCAGACACTGACCCAAACCATTGTCTCAACCATTCTACCTTGATAGACTAGCCCCGTGCTACCTTCAACGCTACATTCGTCTCATCTATTGTTACTCCGAAAGCCTCAACTAGCAGATTTGTAGCGTCAACATTTGATAACTTCTTGCAAGAGACTGATTTACCAATCACTGGAATCCCTAGAATTACACTAACATCTTCTAAGGTTGGTGACATCTCACCAAATGGTAGATGAAACATGTTTGTCTCTGGCTGCCATCTTTCTACAAAGGCCGAAACTACAACTTTGTTTACAAATTTGTAGGAGCAACTCACTAAAGAAATCAACCCCGAATCCTTAATTAAACCATGAAATTTGGACTGTTCATTATCTTCCAAGCTGAACGACCATTCTCTAACTTTAAAACCATGATTTAAGCATTTAAGTATTCCACGTTCCTGCAACATAGAATAAAAACAAGAAAAAAGAAAAAAGAAAGAAAAAAAGAATTAGTAAAGTTGAAACAAAATTTGAAACATTAAATTAATGTAAGACAATGACTTACATCATTATGCCAAATTTTGGCTGCTATGTGACAATGAAAACTCTTCAAAATTGAAGGATCATATGGCCCTCCAGGAAAAGGTCCAATAAGATCATCAACTTTTTCAGTTGTATCTGCTGGTTGGTCTTCATAGTCACCCATGTCTGTTGGATTACACTAACATCATCTAAGGTTGGTGACATTTTACCAAATGGTCGATGAAACGTGTTTGTCTCCGGCTGCCATCTTTCCACAAAGCTGAAACTACAACTTTATTTACAAATTTATATGAGCAACTCACTAAAGAAATCAACCCTGAATCCATAATTAAACCATGAAATTTGGATTGTTCATTATCTTCCAAGTTGAATGACCATTCTCTAACTTTAAAATCATGATTTAAGCATTTAAGTATTCCACGTTCCTGCAACATAGAATAAAAACAAGAAAAAAGAAAAAAGAAAGAAAAAAAGAATTAGTAAAGTTGAAACAAAATTTGAAACATTAAATTAATGTAAGACAATGACTTACATCATTATGCCAAATTTGGGCTGCTATGTGACAATGAAAACTCTTCAAAATTGAAGGATCATATGGCCCTCCAGGAAAAGGTCCAGTAAGATCATCAACTTTTTCAGTTGTATCTGCTGGTTGGTCTTCATAGTCACCCATGTCTGTTGGTTCATCACCTGGATCATCATCCATGTCTGTTGGTTCATCACCCATATCTATTGGTTCATCCCCCAAATCATCACCCATGTCACTCACATTAAATTGATTGCCCCCATCGTTTTCAACCTCAACCATTTTTGCTAGAGCAGCACCTATGTCATTCATGTCATGTTCATTAACTCCACTACCTTGATCCTTAGTCTTACGAGTGTGTCGAGGTCTCTTAGCCACTTTTGGAGAAAGTATAACATTACGTCTCCTAGATACTGTTGGGCGACCTCAAGCAGTTTCCACCATAGATGTCCACCAAGTACAATTAGATATAACGCATTAGAAGCATGTCAAGAGCAAGGCCATCAAAAACAAAAAAAAAAAACCTAAATAAAATTATAGACAAAAACAAAGCTTTCCCAAAAAAGTGCAAAAATTTGAAAGCCTAAACAATTAGGAATTTGGTATTAAAAGCAAAAGGCTTATTGATTATGACCTATTATTCCATCTTGAGGGATACTGCCACTGTACATACTGGTCAGGGGCTTTGAGGGTTGCATATTTCTCCTGTGTGCTGAATATGGTAAGCAACAAAATTTATGATGTTCACTAACTGGTTGTTATGCAGATTGTTAAGCTGGCTGTACTATAGGGATGGTGAGTTGAGTGATAGTGAGCAAAGACCTAGGCATGAGAGGACAGGGTGTGGAGGGTTGAGGACCTAATACACTATATCATTTCTAACTTTATCTTGCTGCAGGTTCTGAAAGCTGGTACAAATATTAGGGAGTTATTTGTTGAGGGCCTAGTGAAGAGAGGATACATTTTTGGAATCAAGTCTTTTATTACTTCTTATATTATTTTTCCTGCCTCTTTGTTGAGTGAAATGGCTTTAATGAGGGTTGAGTATGTTAGCTCAGGAAATAGGGAGATTTGTTGCAGGTTTTCTTATTGTTGTGGGTTGAGTGACTTAGCCTACAAAATGTGTGTGTGTGTGCATGTGTGTGGGTGTGTGTGTGTGTGGGTGTGTGTGTTGAAATGGGGTGGTTCAAGTGTAGGTCAACTGGACAATTCTGGGAGCAGCTTTGGGCTGTTTATTTCCTACTTGATTGTGTTATGCTGTTTCTTTGTGGGAAGAACTTCACCCTGATGAAGGATATGGAGGTGAATATGTTAAGTGTGAGATGCATTATTTGGTCTATAGCTTGGGCTTGCTTGGGCTTTACTGCTAAATGTAGGTATGTTATGCAGATAAAATAGATAGATGACTTAATTAATATCCTTAACTAGCTTACTTAAATTAGCCCACACAATTCAAATTTAAATAAGAATCAAGTATACTATAATAACTAACAACAAATTAAGAATCAAATTTAATAGATAGATGACTTAATTAATATCCTTAACTAGCTTACTTAAATTAGCTCACACAATTAAAATTTAATTAATATCTCGTTTCGGCGTCCAATATGGTCTTGCTCACATAAAGTAATGTGAAACACTTTGGTGCCTGGCGATGGCAAATTAGGACCCAACTGGGTGGGTCCGTACAAAGTTATGGGGCAAGTAGGAAAGGGAGCTTACCACTTGGAGGACACTGATGGCCGAGCTATCCTAAGGCCATGGAACACAGCCAAACTCAAAATATTCTATTTTTAGCTTTTTGTACTTGTATTTTTACAACTCTTTGTTCGGATTTAATAAAACAAGTAGACAATTTCATTTTGAACACTTTTTCAATACTTGTATGTATTTCGATTGTTTAAAAATCTTTGCTCAACTAGGGGCAAAGTGGGTTGGTAGGTTTGACCAACCCCTTTTTAAAATCTTTGCAAGACTGGGGGCAAAGAAGGTTGGCAGGATTGACCAACAAGTTTTTGCACTCCTTGACCGAGATGGTCATCTCGGCCAAAGAAGGTTGGCAGGTTTGACCAATAGGTTTTTGCACCCTTTAACCGAGATGGTTATCTCAGCCAATGAAAGTTGGCAGGTGTAACCAAGTTTTTGCACTCTTTGACCGAGATGATCATCTC